CTCTCTTTCCTGCCTATGCAGGGGGTCGGACTCGATGATCTATTGAGGTCCCTTCCGACCCTAAAATCTATGAATCTATGAAGAGAGGGACAGGCTACAACTAGATCTGGACAGGTCACAGAGGTGGGCAGATGAGAGTAGGATGGGTTTTAATACAGACAAATGCAAGGTATTGCACCTAGGGAGGAGAAACCAGCAGCATACCTACAGGCTGAGGAACTCCCTTCTTGTCAGTGCAGAGGCAGAAGAGGATTTTGGAGTCACTATTGATTCCAACGTGAACATGGGCCGCCAATGTGGGGATGCAGTCAGAAAGGCTAACTGCACCTTGTCATGCATCCATAGATGTATCACGAGCAGGTCCAGGTAGGTGATCCTCCCCCTCTATGTGAGACATTGGTCAGGCCACATTTGGAGTACTGTGTCCAGTTCTGGGCGCCACGCTTCAGGAGGGATGTGGATAGCATCAAGAGGGTCCAGAGGAGAGCCACTCGCATGATCAGGGGGCAGCAGGGTAGGCCCTATGAGGAGAGGCTACGGGACCTGAACCTGTTCAGCCTCCACAAAAGAAGGCTGAGAGGGGAACTGGTGGCCACCTATAATCTTGCCAAGGGGGACCAGCAGGCAATGGGAGAGTTCCTGTTCCCCCGAGCACCACCTGGGTAACAAGAGGGTTGTTTGATCCTAGCATCCTTTCCTGCCCATGGCAGGGGGTCGGACTTGATGATCTGCTCAGGTCCCTTCCAACCCTACCAACTATGAAACTATGGGCACATCTACACGTGCATTAAGGCACTTTTTCTAATGCACGTTAAATTTAGTACCTCCAATATGAGGTACTAAAATGAGCATTAGGCTGCCTTAATGTGCAGCAATGAATGAGCACGTTTTTTAAGTGCACAGTAGTCTATTTTACTGTGCATTAGCATAATTGTGCATTTTTTTACATGATGCTTTAATGTACAGTAAAATAGTCTACTGAGCAGATACTGGTCCAAAGCCAAAAGGCATATTATTTACCACATAATTCATTGGGCTGGATCTCAGCAGAGCAGAGTCAACAGCATTTCAAGCCACAGTGACCCCACAGTGCAGCATTGCTCAGTATGTGTGTGTACTTCAGATGTCCCCCACAAAGGATCCATGTGCTAATTAGCCCCCATTCATGACTGGAACCAGGTCTTCTTGTCATAAATACTAGTTTCTTCCAGAATCTGTGTTCAGATGAGGCAGTCTGGTCTGGTTTCACATCATAGAGGTGGGGGCCACACTAATCTGTGACAGGCTGAGAGAGGGGATGCCAGAGAGAGTCTGGGTGAACTGTTTGGGGCCTTGTTTGGTGATGTTTGCTAGACATTTAAGGCTGGTTAAGAAACAGGAATCATTGGAAATGGGAAAGAAAGGTACAGCTCACTTGTGGAAGTGAAGAGAAAGTAAAAATGTATACAGTGTAGTGGCTTACCATGACTTTAAAAAGTAATCACTATGGGGAACTGCACTCAGTGGGCACTAACAAATATCATATTCAGATGGATTGCACTAACCTAGCCTTGTGGCAGGTTCCCATCAGCATGTTTGCCCCATATGAGCCATGTACTTTATAGTCATGCTTAGTGTTGGCTGCATTTCATTAATTTTATAGTTGGTTTCCATTACTAAACACATGCTGCTTTTAGCAGCAGTTCAAAGATATACAATGTATTTAACGTGGTTTCCTTGTATGTGACTGAGAGACAAGGGCTTTTTCTCCCATGTTCATTGGGGGGGAGCTCATCTTATATTCAAGTAAATATGGTAGTAACCTGGCCATACGTTCACACAATTAGTGGCATGATAAAACAAAGAATAAACCACAAAGTAATTACCATATTTCACAGTCAATAATTTGAAGTTTGAAACCAACATATTTACCCTTAAATTTCCACCTCAACTTAAACGCCTTGCGTTTCAAAGTTTGTTTGTCTTCAGCCGGACCCCACGCCAGCGCTCTTCCACACCCAGCCCATGGGGAGGTGGCGTGCTGGTGTCTATGCACTTCCCCAGTACTAACTGAGGCCAGGCCAGGCTCCTGTGTCCCCCTGCCCAATACCCTGGAGCTGGCCTGGGTGCCCAAACCCCACGCCCATCAAATCTGGCCCAGGGACACTTCCCCGCAGCCCAGTGGCTGCCCTGTAGATAGATCTTGGCCAGCAGGGTGGAGCCGCCACCCGCTGCCAGCCGCACCAGGGCTCAGAGTAGCAGCAGTGAGTGGTGCTTGCCAGACAGGTGTCACTCGCAGCCCACATACTGAGCTCCGCTACTGTCCACCGGGGTGCAGCTCATGGTCTCCGGCTATAACGGCCACCACTGACCCACATTTATAAGGCACCAGGATGAAATGACAGCCAAGTTGAAGTGCCTGACGCCTCCCCTGGAGATGGTTCTGGCAAGGCAGGGTTGATTTATACACTGGGTCTGCGAAAATCCTAACTTTTTGATAAAAAATATGGGGTTGATTTATACACTGAGTAGACATGTACACCATAAAATATGGTACACAAAATATGTGTAATCACTTTGTGACTGGTATCCATTGCGTCTTAAATTGAATTTAGGGCCAGGCCAATCAACTGATGGCCACTACCAGCATAGAGCCCTTGCGCCTCCAAGCCTGGGAGCACCCATCACCTGACTGGCACCCCAAGCGAGGCGCACCTGGCACCTCGTTTGCTACTTACCAGTGCAGGGGAAGATCAGGATCATGATCCTGGGTTTCTCTTGCACTGGCAATAGTGTGTGTTTGGGATCTGATCCCATGATTACACCTTCTGCCATGCATGTGTAGTACAGCAGGAGATGTGATTGTCGGGATCACGGATTAGATCTGAAAATCTGCTGGGGTCTGATAAGACGATATTCACTTACAGTCCTAAACGTTTGCTGTGCACAGTTAAATATAATTATACTCCATCTTACATAACTTTTTTTTAATCGCACAGGAATGCTATGAGGCTTTAAATTACTTTAAAGCCTTCTGCAGTCCTTGCAGATGGATCACTCTCTCTTTTTAGTTTCATATTAAGTACTTGTTTTTTTTAGTGGGTGGGAGGGTTAATATTTTCAACTATTTAGAATGATCTGGTTATGTTCTTTAAGTGTTTATATCACTTTTTTCAAATTTTTTGGGAAGTAACTAGTTTTGTTCCCAAGTCCTTATCTAGTTAAAAATATCTCATGAGGAAAACAGAACCACAGGAATTCTTTTTGTTTCATTGTCAAGGATTTCTTTAACCATATTTGAATTTGCCAGTTAAACCCTTCCTTTAATCAGAAGTCACAGCATTGAAGACTTCCAATTTAGTTAATGAAAACATAAAGCTGTAACTAAACCCTGCCTTGTTCTAGGAGCTGTTACTTGAAGTAGAGACTCCAGTTTTGCCACCGTATACTTTGTCATCACTACCTCTTCCGGGAGAATGCTTTCCTGTTAAAGTTAAGCACCTTGTTTCACCTAATGAGGTAATGTTGTAATGGTTATAATCATTGCTAGAGTATGTCTGTGACTATACAACCTTGTGGATACTGTCATAGAAAAATCAGTGTCAGTACAGAGGTATTTCAGCTTACAATTGACCATTTAAATTTCTATGAATAACTGATGTAACTGCAGGTGCCAGTGTGGAGGTAATGCAAATTTGAATGTCATTCCTGATCTTTAAGAAAAAAAAATGCAGGTCTGCTTGCACAAAGAGTTTTTATGAAAATGTTTGAATCCTGCAACCTCTTTTAAAAAGTCACGCTTTCACTCATTTGGTGCAATGGCAGAGTTTTGCCCAAGACTCGCCATGTTGTCCTCAGCCTAAAATTTCATGTCAGTTCATACAAAATAAAATATCTTTTAAGCTGTTCACAAATTTAAATACAATAGGCCTTTATTAAAAGGCTGGATTTGACACGTAACTCTAAAGTCAAATTACATTGAAGTGTAAAGCCAAAACCTGGGATCCATATGACTCTGTTTTTTGGCATTCAAAAATACAGATACCATTCTTTAAGGGATGGCATGTGTTGTTCATCCTTCGCCGGTGAAGACAACCATATCCAGCGGGGAGAGGGGAGGGAAGGAGAAAAGAGAAAAGGGGAAAGAAGGAAAAGAAGAAAAAAAAAGGAAAGGAAGGAGAACAAAGGAGGGTGGGGGCTAGGTGACATGAATACGTAGGTGTCTTATAAATCCAGTCTTTGCTTTGAATAATCTGCTGCAGCAGAGGCAGGAGTGTGATGAGGACTGGATACAGGAGTTTTTCAGTTTCCTGGCCATGCATTTCTTCATTGCTTCTGCCATGCATTGCTGTTCAAAAGCCAGTGCTCCGTTCTGAATTTGGGACCTCCAGGACGGACAGTCGTGAGTGATTTGCTCCCACGACTCTGGGTCGATGCCGAAACTCTTTAGGGACACCTTTAGGGTGTCCTTGTACCACTTCTTTCATGCGCTGTGAAAGTGTACTCCATTTGACAGTTCGCCAGAAAATACTTCCTTTGGCAGGCACATTTCAGGCATACTTGAGAGATGGCCGGCCCATCTTAGCTATGCCAGTTTCAGCAGGGAGTGAATACTGGGGAGAGCTGATCTTCTGAGCACTTGGGTGTCCAGAATCTTGTCCTGCCACTTGATCTTTAGTATCTTTCTCAAGCAGCACAGGTGGAAGTGGTTTAGTTTCTTGGCATGACGCTGGTAAATGGTTCAGGTTTCACAGGCATAAAGGAGGGTTGGAAGGATGACGGCTTTGTATACCTTCAGTTTTGTCAACATTCTGATGCCTCTTTGGTCCCAGACTGACTTACGGAGTCTGCCGAAGGCCACACTAGCTTTCACTAATCTCTCATTGACTTTGTCATCAATGTGGACAGCACGGGAGAGCATGCTGCCTAGATAGGCAGTACCTATCTAGGGATGATAGAGGAGGAGGAAATAGGTATTTGTATGGATATTTTCTCACTGTTTTTTCTATTATTATTGGAAAATGCTCATTTGAATCCAAAACATTGGAAATTTGAAAGCAGGGCTCTGACATAATTTGTCATAGTTTCTGTCCAGCTTACCATGTGAGTTGTTTCCTGCCTCTGGCTGCAGTGCTGACCTCCACTGATCTGGGAACCCAAATCTTACAGGTCATTACAGTAGAGCTAAAGGTCTTGATAGAACAAGGAGCAGTGGTCTCAAATTGCAGCAAGGGAAGTGTAGGTTAGATTTAGAACATTTTTTCACTAGGAGGGTAGTAAAACACTGGAACAGGTTACCCAGAGAGGTGGTAGAATCTTCATCCTTGGAGGTTTTTTAAGACCCAGCAAGACAAAGCTTTGGCTGGGATGATCTAGTTGGGGGGGACAGGGCTGCTTTGAGCAAGGGGTTGGACTAGATGACCTCCTGAGGTCCCTTCCAACTAATTTTCTGTGATTCTGTGAAGCCTCAACTTCATGCAGAGCTCTTACCGCTTTTGAGCTTCTAGCTTCATGATGAAGGATTAATGCATGATTCCCATGCCAGTGAAGTAGATCAAGGAGATACTTTGCAATGATATAGGGTGGTGTCCATCTGTCACACTGCTTCTGCAGCCCTTTCCATGTGTTCTGAGCCCACCATCACCGTGATGGATCAAATGACCAAGCATGCCATCCTTAAGGGACAACCAGTGTGGCCCTTGGGTTTGCAGCGCAAGAACATTTGCTTTGTACAGTACTACCGTATTACTGGGATTCTAGATCAGTCCCACATACAAATCAAGTATGATTGCTATGGTTCTTTTTTGGGAAGGGGGAGGTTGATCTGTAAGCAGAACAATGCAGAAATACTGGAAGCAGGGGTCAGCCAGAACCCAGCATTCTCTCCATGGAGTAAAATCAGGCTTTCTCTTGTTTGCTCTTCTGCCCCCATGACTCTTTCCATCTTGGCTGACCAACAGGCCAGCTTCAAAAAAACAAAGCAGGGAGGGAAATAATCCAAGGAGCTCACAACTATGTCATCCTTATAGCTTGGGAGTTATGGTACAACATTAGAAACATAGGAGATGTGGGTTCAGGCCTCTGGAGGGGGAGGGGAAGCGGGGCTGAGAAGGCTAAAATGCATGTAATTACCGTGTGTCAGAGCAGACTTGACTAATTGAACACACTTTAGTTACAGTGCCCCTACTGCCATTTTGACGCATGGGGACACTGATACACAAGATGCTACGGGTGGTTTAATTAAAGCGGGTCTCAGAACTGCTCTAATTAAGGCATTCCCCACCTCTGGAGCATGTGTAAAAATTTCCCATGTTATCCCATGTCTTGTGCTCTAACCCCCACTAAACTATTTCATAGAATCAGAAAATTAGGGTTGGAAGGGACCCTAGGAGGTCATCTAGTCCAGCCCCCTGCTCAAAGCAGGACTGTCCCCAACTAGATCATACCAGCCAAGGCTTCATGTAGCTGGATCTTAAAAACGCCCAAGAATAGAGACCCATCACTTCTCTGGTAACCTGTTCCAGTATTTTACTTACTACCTTCCCAGTGAAAGAGTTTTTCCTAATATCTAACCTAAATGTCCTTGCTGCAACTTGAGACTGGTGCTCCTTGTTCTGTCATTTGCCACCACTGAAAACAGTCTAGCTCCATCCTCTTTTGAACCCCCCTTCAGGTAGTTAAAGGCTGCTATCGTATCCCCCCTCCGTCTTCTCTCCTCTAGACTAAACAAGCCCAGTTCCCTCAGCCTCTCCTCAGAAGTCATTTGCCCCAGCCCCTTAACCATAACTATTTGAGGAAAATGATCTCAAGCATATGTTTTCTGGCTCTGATCAAAAGTTCTGCTAAAACACATGCCTTATGCGTGGGGAGTAAAATTTTGAGCAGTGGAGGCAATTAGCATAGGTTAAAATACCGTACTAAAATGAACAAAGCTTGGTTCTTTAGGGTGTAACAGGGCATAGGCAGCAGCCAGGCAGCCTACAGCTGACTGTAATCCCAATCTGGCACTGATGCCTGATTGGGGAACAAAGCCAGCTGTTGTATATAAGGGCTGGGTACCTGAACTGCAGGGCAGTGGTTTGCTGCTACCAGCTGAGGAGGCAACATCCAGCTGAGCTGATGCCTGGACCCTCAGAGGTAAGGGCTGGGGCTGTGGGGAAGAAGGCTCCATGGTTCTGGGCATGACCTGAAACTGCACCCTGCTGGGGACAGGTTGACTGGTGGCACTACCTGTGGTGGGGTAGCTCCCCAGAAGTGCTAGGCCAGTTACCTCCCTGGTGAAAGGCGAGTAGGGGTTCCTAAAAACCCCATTCCCTACATCCCTGGTGGGTTAATCACAACAGGGACCTGAACATAGGGAGCTGGGTGTTAGGCACGAGAGAGGGATGAGGCTTGGAGCCTCAATCCAGGAGTAGGGACTTGGAGTGAGTGAGTGGGCCTGGGGCCCAAGAGAGAGATGGAGGGACAGGGCTGACTTGTAGCCCGGGGATGGGGCTTGGAGCCCCAGGACGGGAATTGGAGCCTTAGACATGGAGGTTGTAGGGCAAGAGATGGGGTCAAAGGGATCTGTGGAGGCCAGGTATGTGCCACCAGACTAGTGCTGGTTATCAGGCCATGTTGAGTTGGAAGCCAGGTGAGGCCCTGTGAAAGCAGAAAGCCAAGTGAGGCCCCACTGAAGCAGGAAGGCCAGGTGAGACCCCGCTAAACTAAAGCCAGGTGTCAGGCTGCGCAAGCTGGAGGCCGAGTGGTAGGCTGAGCAGGCTTGGGGCCTGGTCTGAGCCCAGGAAACATCTGCAAGGCATGGGACATGTCAAAAAGAGGTCGGAGGCCCTTGTCATCAGGGCAGGTAAAGGGCAGCCTCCCACCTGATTAACATCTGACAATCAGGAACATCAAGGCATGTTAGGAGAGACAGGCAGGTGGGTAGCCTGGAAACCAGTGGGCAGGCCTATTTTGAGATCGGCCCTAGGATGCCCGTTTGTTACATAGGGCAAAGTAAAATTTACCTCTGGGAGTGATATTAGCTCAGGGGCGGGCAAAATGTGGCCCATGGGCCATATGCAGCCCTCCAGGCCATCTATCGGGCCCCTAAAAAATTTAGTAAAGCAATATTTATTTGCCCCTGGCTGCCTGTCATATGGCCCTTGATGGCCAAAACTCAGTAAGCAGCCCTCTGCCCGAAATAATTGCCCGCCCCTGTAATAGCTGCATGCTAGCTTCCCAGTGAAAATATAAGAAAACTTTCTGCTTCTACACAGGCAAAGTACAATGTCTCCTTGCTTCTAGTTCTGCAGGCTAGCACTTTGCCAGTATCTATGTATTAAATGCCTATTAAATTAAATGGTAGTGTTGGGGTAATGTTATAGCCAGGGATCCTGATATTCTCTGATTTTTAAAAATCTCTGATTTTTGGTTAAAAAAAGTAATTCCAAATCCACATCGTTGAGTGATTAAAATGAAACCACACACACACACGTAGTGTCTCATTTAAAAGTTATGGAAAAACATGGGGTTACCTTTTTTTAACTGAAAATTGGGGATTATTTTAAAACAGAGAAAACCAGGATCCCTGGTTACAGCCAGGATGGTCCAAAGAAAAATGCAAGAGGCAAGGATTTTACTGGGTGATCTCTCTGACTGGATCAGCTGCATAGTCAGGAGGGATATAGACAAACCTTTGGTTACCAAGTATGTTTCCTCAGGTTTCACCTGAATTCAATTTAGAATTTAAACCAATGAATCTTAATGATGAACTTCTTTCAAGATGGAAGTAATCCTTTTAACATCACATTAAATTTGGAGTAAGTTTGATGTGATCAGTCTGCAGAATTGTAGTTTGTCTCTTAGAAAACTCTGTCCTCTGCCTTAGGTGTACATTTGCCTTGATTCAGTAGAGAGTATTGAAGAACAAAATGACACAGAAGATGGTAGAGTTGACTGGAACTCTGAAACTGAGAACCTGGATCAAGTCCTGAGGAGGTGTAACAAAGATGTGGATTCTCTTCCTTTTCTAACAGATTTTAGAACAGGTAATTATGAAAAGCTTGTATATTCTGTATCTAATTATGTATTTTACAGAAAGCATAAAATAGAAATTTCTCCTTTGGGAATGGGATTTCCCAAACAAGCTCACTTTTATTCTACCACTTTCCCATGGACTTAATGGATGAGAAATATCCTACTCTGTTCCAGTAGAACAGGCTGTCCTGAGGGGTTAACCTGCAGCCCTCAGCCCCCACTGGGCTTGCTCCTGCTGCTGGCTGGAGTCTCTGGGCTTCCCCTCCCTCCTCTGGCTTCTGCTTCATGCCCCCTTCTCTGTGTGGACGGGGAGGGGTAGGGCGGTTCACCCAGGGAATCTGTGGCTGGAGGCCTCAGTGGGGAACTCAGGGTCTCCACATAGTGTTGGTGAAGCACAGCACACAGCCTGTGCAGCATGTGGCCAAGGAGCCTGCAGCTTTTCTCTACTCATGCTCTTTAATCCAGATAATTTACCCTTGAGGTGGGGGTTCTTCATGTGTACTTGAATCATTTTTTGTCACCTGTTGTCAGCCTTTTATTAAAGAAAAACAGAACAGATTGAGATTAGGTCTTTCTCCCTGCAGAAAGCTGTTTCTTGAGATGGATCAGGCATCAAATGTATGACTAGTGGGCAGGATCTGGCCCTCAACAGTTCTCTGGCTGGACAACTTGCTCTTGCATCCAGCCCACAGGACTTCTTGGCACAGCTGCTAGAGCTGCTATGCCAGTGCAGGCAGCAACCAAAAGATAAATGCCACCCCTCCTCCCCCCCCCCGAATTATTGTTTAGTATACTCAGCTGAATCCAGAGGTAGATTGTCCAGCCACCATGAAGGCCCACTGTCCAGATCAGCCCTCCAGTGCAAATAAGTTTGATATCCCTGTTCTAGATCATCCTTTATAAGTACTCTCCCCTCTAATGGGACTGTTTCTCCCAGTTCTTAGATGAATCCCATATGCAAGGGCTGTCTAACTGGTTACCTTCCTTGGGCTCCCACTCGACCAGCACTCCCTGCATTGTTCCTACTGCTGCGGCAGCAAGAGTCTCTGGGGCAGGGCAGCATGATGGAAGGACAACTGGTTAGCCAGCCTGATGCTTCCCAGTGAGTGGGGGGCAGGAACCGTGCTGTTTGTGTGGTGAGGTGTCCACGTAATGGGGGAGGAGGATGCATGTGCTATTCCTGGCTGCCCAGAAGTTAAACATATACTATATACATGTCATGTACTAAGGAAGTTACAAAGAGTGGCAGTGTAAGAAAGAGAAAACAAAGCCTTTCGTATCTTGATGACATAATACAACTCAGTTTAGAGTTCAGTTAAAGGATCTTCTAAATCTTATGTTTAATTTTTCTCCTTACAGAAATGCCTTGCCTGGCAGAGTATAGTGATGGCTTATGGTATAGAGCAAAACTTCTTTCTATTAAAGATTTTGACCCTGTTACTATTCTGATTCAATTTATTGACTATGGAGCAACTAAAATACTACCAACAAGCAGGTAAATGCAGAGCATTTATATTTTTAACTTCTGTTCAAACACAAGCATCTTGTCTAAGTTGGATTTAATATTAACATTAAGCATTTCCTATCTGTATGTCCATCTGTCTTGGGAACACACATAGTCTGCATTATTGAGGTATCTGAATACCTCACATTCTGTATTCTTAGAACTCCCATAGAGAGAGGATTGTGCTTTTATCCCCATTTTATGCATGGGAAATTGAGATGCTGAGGGGCTACGGCCGGCCGGGATCCACAGGGTATTTGGGGTTTAAACCATATCTTTACACCTCTGAATCCATTGTGCAGCTGCCATTGACATTTACAAAACAATGATTAGCTGTAACTAAGTCCTAGACACAGATTAGCTTCCATCCATTAGCATATGTAAGGCAGCCTTAGCTGACATTACCACGCTAGCCCTAGTTCAAGATGACACTTCAGAAGCTGAAAAGTACCAAGTGTGACTTCCCTGCCTCCCCCCTTCCTCCCCAGTTAAATGTTCCACCTTTGCCAGCAAGGCCCAAGCTGAAACCAGATGCAACCTGCACAAAGGGCAGCTTGTGAATGGGGTAGGGTGGGTAAGAACAGAACCATCCCTAGGGGTGTGCGGGGCCTGGGGCATACCAGCCTGTGTGGGGCCCGAGGAGGGGAAGGGAGTACATTAATTAACACAGTCCAGCAGACTCAGTCAAATCTGCTCTGACACGTGCTAATTAGCATACATTAGAGCAGACATCCAGTATGTGTATAGGTGCCCCTAGTGCTTAAGATGGTCATCTGAGATGGGGAATCAAACTGGCACAAGAGATTTGAACCACATCCCAGGTGACAGACCTAATCATTAGGTGGTTAGGATCTCCCTCAACACCCTCCTTCCTTTCTGGGAAGAAGACAGTCAGACTAATGCAGGATTCATGATTGTGGATCCTGAGTGAAGAGATGCCTCTCCTAGCTACAGATAAGTGCCACTCCTTATCCAGGCACAGCAGGTTAGGAGCCTGTACCACACTCTTATCCCATGTTGGGTTTTGGGGGGTTTTGTTTTTTTGGTCCTTGGTTCCAAGTTAAGTGGTTTCTCAAGATCTCTTCTGTAGATGCTGGACTCTATACACTGTAGAGGAAGCCAAGTATGATTAGATACTGCAGTGCTGAAGTACTTTGGAGACTCTAGGCCTAAGTGACACGTCCGGCATCACATAAATCGTCCATTGGAAATCACAGTCTGTAACTATGAACTCGCATCTCCAAGGCTCTAACCTAGTTCCATAACCATTAGCACATTCTCTGTATCCTTCAGTAACACCTTTCAGTCGTAGATTTTGAAAAACTACCATCTTCCATTTCATATACAAATGTTTTCATTTTGCTCTAGATTACGTCAGATTCCTCCTGCTCTTATGCAATATCCTGCTCAAGCAGTGAAAGCTCTGTTGGCTGGATTTAAACCTTCTTTGCTTAATACAGAGAAAGAGAGAATTCCATATTGCCCAGAGTGGAGCATGGAAGCATTGTGGGCAACGATAGACTGTGTTCAAGGAAAACAGCTCTTTGCTTCCACATTGGTGAGTTTTGATGGTGGGGGTGGGGTCTCCTGCCCTCTAGTTCCTGTCAGACACAAATGATTTTTCTTGTTAACATTTTCTGCAGTGTGTGAATGTTATGAAAACATTTTTATTGTGACCTCTATTCTGTTAACATGGATCTGTACACTATTCAGTATTGAAATAATTTTGCAAAAGAGTGTGTCCACAACTTAATCATATGACAGAGTCCAGTGCCCAAGCCTTCTTGTCTGAATGACTTCATTGTTGTGCTTTCCACAGTATTTCCTAGTATTCTTGCTTCTGTTTCACATTCCCGTATGGGCCAGTAGTAAAGAGTGCCACAAATGAACACAAGGGTTGTAATCACTAAGGGCTACCACATCCTTTCCCTGCTTTCCCTTGGCATCTTTTGTTGCCTCCTAAGGTTTCTCCTCTTCATCCACCATGGCATTCAGACTTGCAAAGTGAAAATCATTCACACACATCATAGGGAGTCTAAGGGATGCTAGAGAAGGTGCACAATAAAATGTTAGAGGGCTTTATGCTTGCTCGCTCATGCTTCAGTTTCAGTCCATTGAGTTAGACACTTAAGTATTTGCTCAGGCCTCTTATTTTCTGTTTTTTTCTTCCCTCCCTCCACCTGCTTCATGCCACCTTCACATCTGCTGACCTTCTGCACTCTGGAACCACTTCTGTATGTGTCCAAAATTTCTATGCATTGTTGATCAACATTAAGGACATTTTGCCAATTCTTATCATTAACCCAATTTGTGAAATTTTAGGGTAATGGGTATTTGTATAAATCAGCCTCGTCTCATCTGTATTTTTAACATCAAGTTATAAAGCTCTTGCTGTGAATTATTGCAGAAACAATACTATAAACAACACTATTTCTTTTAACATCAGAATTATACATTTATTTAATACATATAAACTGTTAACCCTAATTTGCAAATGTGAAACTCATGCTTGTCCAATCACCAGTCTCAGTCCACTTACCTAAAATATTTCCTTTCAAAATACTGTAAGCTTCATCATGCACATTAAGCATATTTTTAAAAAGAATTTGTAAAATAGAACCATAGAAAGTTAGGGTTGGAAGGAACCCAAGGAGGTTATCTAGTCCAACCCCCTGCTCAAAGCAGGATCGTCCCCAACTGGATCATCCTGGCCAAAGTTTGTCTAGCCGGGCCTTAAATCTTCAGGAATGGAGATTCCACAACCTCTCTGGGTAACCTGTTCCCAAGTTGTACTGCCCTCATAGTGAGAAAATTCTTCTTAATATCTAACCTAAACTTCCCTTGCTGCAACTTGAGACTGTTGCTCCTTGTTCTTATCATCTGCCACCACTGAGAACAATCTAGCTCCATCCTCTTTTGAACCTCCCTTCAGGTAGCCGATGGCTGCTATTAAATCCCCTCTGTTTTCTCTTCTCCATAATAAATAAGCCCAGTTCCCTCAGCCTCTCCTCATAAGTCATGTGCCCCAGCCCCCAAAAGATACAAACCTTTCAATTCACTGTAGTTCATTTATCACTATTTCATGTTCTTCTTCAGATCAATGGAGTACCTAATAAATTCCTTTTAAGTGCAGCATCATTGCTCTTCTTTCTACTCATGCAGTTAATTTAATGCTTCACTTATTCCTGTTACCTTGTTTTTCTTAACCCTCAGCCCACTGATGGCTCCTGTGCCTTTTAGATCTCATCTTTTTTAGACTGACAGGGATTGTCACTGTTATACGCAGCACCTAGCAGAAAGGAGTCCCAACCTGGTTGGAACATTAGGTATTACTGAAATGCAAAAGAATAATCATAGTGTTTAATCAGTTTTTACTATTTGAAACCATTCCTGTATTTCTTAAAGCTGCATGCATTTCTGATTTCCAGACTTCATCACCAGAGTTCACCATTTTCTTGTACAACGATGAGCAAAAATTAGTTCACCTGGAGCTGATAGAAATGGGACTTGCAGAACTATATGAGTGACATGTAAGTACTATATATATGATGGTTGTTGCAAAGCAGGACTATAGAACGTAAGATTTGCACACTATTTATTTATTTATTTATTTATTTATTATTAGAGTTATGTTGTACCCTCACTGAAAAACTCAGAGCAGCTTACAATAAACAGCCACAGACGATTGTTCCAATAACATCCCAAAATCTGAAAACACCAACTGCCCCCCTTAACCCCAGCCACTGGCTCCATGCCCAAACCCCAACACAAGCAAACCTTTCTGCCAATTCCAACCACACCTCCCAGCCATCCCTCCCATCCAGATACAAAAATCTTTTTCTACCCTACTTATCCATTCCCCTCACCCTGCTTCAGTCACAGGGAAGATCAGAACTGGCCAGGTTTGTTTATCTCTTTGTAGCCTTTTGGATGCCAATGTAGTGACATTTTTTTAAATACTGTTTTTTAAGTTGAGTATGTACAGGAGAGTATGCATTGCAGGAAAACAATCGTTACAACCTGTCTGATACAGCAGCCGGTAGCCTTTTATAGGCTGCAGGCCAAAGTGATGCAGTTCAGGTCAGGGGAAACCCAGTCACTTCAGCCCACAGTGCTATATGGGGAATAACTACTACTGAAGCCCCTTACCCCTGAAGGCTGCCAAAGTCGTCCACAGATTTCTGACTGCTACTCTAATATCATCTGTATGATCAGATCCTACCCTTACAACCTCTGCTCTCTATTCTGACTCTTTCTAAAAGCAGCAGTTTATGGTCTGAGAAACCAATCCTGGTCTCTGCTTAAACCAGTGTTTCAGGTCTAGTGCGAGTGCCAGCAAGGACTGGAGAAACAGTTATATTCAAGCACTGCAAATAGGGAAGGAATTTGTAAGGACTGCTTATGCTGGTAATTGCTGAAGTAGGCAAAATTGCAATTGACTGGTAATCTGCAACAAATTATCCTTAATGTTTGTATATATTGTACTAGTAAGAACCAAGTGCTTCCTTCACTATAACCACTTTGCCTCCCATATATACCAGGGGTGGCCCACATGGTCCAATCACCCCCACAAATGCTGGAATGGTATTCCTAAACCATCTCAGACCAGTGCTTATGCAGTGCAATCCCAATTGCAAGAACTGATGTTTTCCTTATGATGCAGCGAACACTATTCTAGAAAATGCCTGATTCTAAAGGGATTTTTCTCTGAATCCCAGGGAGGTTCATTATGAGTTATACTGTGTATTTATATGAACTTATGATGAATACATTTCTTGTTTTATGTTTGGTGCCATTTAAGGGGGTCTGTGATAAGTGGTCTATGTTTGTGATTTAAGGTGGTCTATGATAGAAGATGCCTCCTAATTTTAACACTATTTTTTGTTTCAGATTTACTGTATTAAAGAACTTTTGTTGAAGACCTCACTAACAGAGGAGTAAAAGTTTTGTTTATATTTGTTCGGGCATTTTTGCTTAGTTTAGTACATTCTAAGTGCAACAATTGTGCACAATACCTGGAATATTTAGGTGTGTCTAGTTCAGTTATTTGCAGAAGTTTGTGAAGGATATTAAAATAAATATTTATTTTGTTCAACATGCATCTGAGATTTTGTTTTTCCCTCAAACCTTCACAAGTCATCTGTTCTGCAGTGTCTTTTCAATGAACCACCATCATCCATATGGAGTTCAGCAAAGTAGGAAACACCCCAAGGTAGCTGAAAAAAGGAGCATCTCCTAAGAGGGTCTTCCCCTTCCCACTAATAGATAAAAGGTATTGCATAAGTTTATATGCCAGCCAATGGGGCTCAGGTAAGCTATTACCCCCTCTGCACCTTGGGAAGTAGTTAGTTTAAACCCTGTCCTTTCAGCCTGAACTCCCTCTAAGACTTGGATAACAGCCACAAGTGCAGAGCTTGCTGTACTTTAAGGGTGCCAAAGCAAGCTATCCCAGTGCAATGAAAAATACAACAGGAGACCAGCCTGACTAAACAGTGGTCTCTTCAATGAGTTGAACCTCAAGAAGGAATCATAGGAAAAGCAGAAACTTAGTCATGTTGCTAGGGAAGA